GTTGTTTTTAAAGATGATGTTGGAGAGAAGCAATTTTTATTGTTACAAATGAATTCTAACAAGTAGCAAAGGTCAAAGGTCAAGGTCAAAGTGTGTATTTGTCATATGCACAGTTAGGAAGCGTGTTTCCCTGTACAATGAAATTCTTACTTTGCTGTCCACATGAATGCCACATAATACAAGTGAAATATAAAGTAGATGAACAATAACACAAATCTAAATAGGCTGTAAAATCACAAATCTAAGGCACTTTAAAGCAGCAAGTGAAGGGACCAAATAAAAATACAACAAGAACACAATGTAATGCAGAAAGACTATATGCTATGTGGGAGCCATGGAGTGTAAATACTCAGCAGTGATTGTGCGACTATGCATGTGCAAAATGAGAATGTAAACAGTACATATGGAATTACATGAGGTACATCCTGAGTCAGCTGTTCAGGTGTCTGATGGCAGAGGGAAAGAAAGAGCTTTTCAGTCTAGAGGTCCTGCATTTCACATTTCTGAGCCTCCGACCAGAGGGTAGGGGTATGAACAGTCCATGCTGGGGGTGGGTGGGGTCCTTGAGGATGGAGGCAGCTTTCCTATGCACCCTGCAGTGGTAAATGCTCTGCAGAGAGGACAGTGGAGTCCTGGTGATCTTCTCCGCAGTCTTTACCACTCTCTGCAGAGAGTGTTTGTCTTATGATTGTGATTTACAAAAAAGTAGGCACTGAAATGATTCATCAATTACTGTATTGGTTCATAGACCGAAAAACTGATCAACACTAATTTTGATAATCAGATCAGGGTTCCATTAAACATTTGCTGTATGAGGATTTACTGCTTTTCTCAGTTTGATGTCTACCAAGATCTCAGCCTTTGTTCTGTCTCTGCTCCACATTTCCCTGTTATTTTGGTCCAAGCCCCTTGTCTTTGGCCCATTTTCCTTCTCCTGCTACACGCTGCGCCCACACTCACCTGCCTTTCATCTCTACCTTCAACTGCTCAGTATTACAGTCAGCAGCCTGCGTTCAATCCTTGCCAGATTGTCCATGAAGAAAATATCTTTTGTGACTTTCCAGTGGTCTTTCAGGTTTTCCTGTCTTGTTGTTGACCTGTTTCTTTACTAGACTTTGACCTTGCCTGTCTGGTTTGGATTGTCTGGATTCACCGGTGTTCAGACACTTTACATTCCTGGTTTCGGGTCAGTTATCTGTCTTTAGGTCTCTAATTGCCTGGACTCTAGTTTATCCTCCTACTCTGGTCAGTTGTCTGCTCCATGCTTTGTTTACTCTACCTGCCTGGTTTTGTATTGCCTGCTGTTTACTGGAGTGTCTTTATACCTGGACCTCTGTACTTGTCTGAGACTCCACAATTACCTGCTGTTACATTTACTACCCTAAAGGAGCCATTTGTTTTTCTTTGGTATTGTGATGGGCATTTTTTTATTTTATGACATACTGTATTTCTAAGACCACCTTTGAACTGACTTTAGTACTTCATCAAATAAATGCAGGTCCTTTGTTGTTTGTGAGGAGACCACTGTACTGGCACAGTACAGCTCCCAACAAAGAGGCTGCAAGGAAAGCACAACTTTTGTCACCAGTCAATTACTGCATGATCCCAGAGTTCTCTGTAATGTGGAAGAAGTAATTCTACAGTTTACCAGAATATTGTTGAGCCAGAGGATACAATCACTGTAGCTTTGACCACTTTGCAGAATAGCAAACTGCTGTGTTGTTGTATTATAAACCACCAGTGTCCAATAAGCACTGACACTCAATGAAGTATTTACCGTAATCAAGCTGGATTTATTAAATCATATTTCATCTTTTCACGGACACCTGCAACATGCCCACAACGCAGCCCTTGCATTTATTAAAAGCACATATATTTTCAATATGAATCCCTACTAAATACTGTATTAATCAGAATAATTACTAAGACATTACTTCATTATTTTTTAGATGGCATTGTAATTGTTTGTATATTTTTCAACAGGGTGTTTTGATCTGATTTTACCATCTATACTTGCTGAATATAAATACTGGATTTGTTTTCAGCCAGCCACAATGTAATGTAGAGGTGGCAGTTTTATATGTGTATATAAAAAACTTGACAGTAACACAAGTGCATATGATCATATATAACAAGTCTCACAGTGTGACAACGGAAGCTGACAGTGTAAAAGTGTGTTCAGATGATTGTCTAAAAACACACTGAGCTTTCCATGCAGTGTCTCACCCATCTAATGTGCTTCAATGCTCCTGAATGCCTCAGTTATGAGTGATGCTTTGAAAGTGAGAGGAAGTCTTTGCTGAGCCAGGGCTAATGGCATATTCTGCTGGTACATTCATAATGCAGCAGTTTGAGTCAAAGCTTTTGTATCTGACTGGAGGCCAGAGTCCAAACATTGCTTTAATATCAGACTAAAAACCCAAACAGCCCTTCAAGTAGGACATGCCAGCAACTGTCACACTCAAATTATTGTATCCTGCCAAAGGCATCGGTCCAGAATTCGTGAATCTGTGATCAACAGACTGAATATTTATTCTAATTAGACAGTTCTAGAAGCAGAAAAAGGCAGACTGTTTACATGCTGGTTAGTAATTTAGATGGTTATTTGTGTATATTTTGTGACATTCAGCACTCTCATGACTGCATAAACATTTGAAAGTGGTGCATGAACATCTCAGCACCTACTTAAGTTGCCAAACATTTCCACAAAGGATACAGGCCAGTAAGTAGATCACCACTGATCAAAAACCTCTAAAGAAACTACATCAGTGTGTTATAGCCTTTTTAAGTATTTCTTAGCTAAGCATTGTTTTCCAAAGGATGAATAATGAAATATGACTCAGTGGGGAGAAAAACATGAAACACTTCTTTAAAATAAAGAGAAGAAACCTCTGACAGACCCCAGCTCTTGGTGGGCGGCCTTCTGCCCTGACCAGATGGGGTGAGTGGATAGAAGAGAGAGAAAGGAAAAGAAAAGCAACCAGACAATATATGTATATGTATATATATCTTCCTTTGAGTGCATAATACATAAGTCATAATATCTTCCTTTGAGTGCATAATACATAAGTCATAAGTCAAATGAAAAGCTTCTGCTTAGGAAAGATGGATCCAAACTAACATCACTCTATTTGTGCAGGGCCCAGAGAGTGCAGAGGGGGAGTCCTCATGCAACAGTCGTAGTGAATGTACATCGAGTTGACATCGCAATCTGGAGCCACACATGACACTGTGCAGTTTAATGGATAAAGGGATACAAAACTGGTCTGTGTGAGTGTGCGCCTGCTGATGCTCCTCATACACGGTGTCACAATCTATCACAATCTCCACCACAGACCAACACGCGCCGACATGCACACAGCTTATTCTCACTGTCCTCCTTTTGGGTAAATGCGAACACACAAAGGAACCAGCTCACACAGACACAGATGCATGCAAGTACAGTAGCTGTATTCATACCCATGTTTGTACTTCTATCTTTGTGAGGACACTCACTCACAAAGCATTCCCTCATCCCTTACGTTCATCTCAGCCTTCACAATTAAATGCCGACAGCACAAACCTTTATCCTAAATAAGACCTAATTCTAACTGGAACCCTAAACCCAGTTTTCACCCTCAAACAACCATTTAATGGTGAGTCAGAAAGTAATGTAAAAATGTCCCCCACTCCCAAGGTATAAAACTCAAAGTGGTCCTCATAAAGCTAAAAGTACACACAGAAACATACAATAGTGTATTGTCTGCTACTCAGTTGTATACACTCAGACTCTTTCAAACTCAGGGACACACACCCACAAATGACTGTATTCTTCAGCAGCTTGCATACACACAGAAACTCAGACAGACACACACACACAAAATGAAATCCCAACTCGAATAACAAAACACTACAACATGTTTTATTTCACCCTTGGCAACAGTTCCTTCCTCTTCTTCCTTATTTAACACACAGGGATTTAATTGTCCACATGATAAATTACAGCTGTCTCAGCAGCACTCATGTGACATATACACTTGGGTTATTTATAAGCAACGATGTTGAGACATAATCTCTGGATTCATAGAAAGAATGTCAAGGGAGTGTTCTCTCTTATTTGCCTTAATGAATCATGCTCAGCTGTAATTTTGCAGGAACAGCAACACATTTGTCATATGTGCTGAATGAATGTCAGCACCTACATCATGTTTGATTATGGTAATGTGACTTTGGCAGCATATTTACACATGTGGCATGAAGCTTATGCCTTGTTTTCAGGATTTATACAAATATGCCAGATATTTAAGTATTAACCTCCAGGGTTATTATTCCCATTTAAACTTGGCAACATCTCTTGTGCTAAATTGTAATTATCATGAGTTCTTAATACTGTATGTGTCATATTGTATATTACTTCTGTGGCAAGTGCTGAGATGGATTTAATAATCATTTTCATCCAATGAATGCATAAAAGAAAAAAAAAACATTAAACAACATTGTCAAACTCACAGCTAGTGTGACTAGATAATGCTATAACCCATGTTGGTGATTAATGGGGATATACGATGGGAACCTCCTACCATCAGACTGTTATGTGTCCTTCCTCTCCCCCTCCACCTAGTGTGTGTTCAGCTGCTGTTCCCTCAGGTGTACCAGACTTGGGTGCTGATGGAAGCTCTGTCAGTGTGGGCGGGACCCTGCTACTGTGTGCTGTCCTTCCTAATGCATGCAGCAGAAGAAGCAGCAGCCACTGCCTGAGAAGTGAGGGGCCTGATTTTCTTTCTTTTTTTGCCCATTTCTTTTACAATATGGTAGGGCAGCTTTGGATTAGCTGAGATGTTAGGGGAATGCTTTGGTCTGATGGTCCATTATGTTGTTGTCCTGGGTAGCTTTGCATCCCTTGTTAATTTTGATCTGCCATCTATTTCATTTGCTGCCTCCGTTTTTGTTAACCAAGATTAATGCAACCATCTCTAAACATTTGACATAATAAACCAAATAACTTGGACAATATAGCTCACCGTTGAGTAGTTATCACACTTCTTTTCTCTTTTACGTCAGCTGGTCGGCGGGTGCTTTGGTTATGCGCCCCGTTCTACAATGCTTAAACATAACAACATACAAGTCAATTACCTCTCGACACTAACAGAATAAGTTGACTGTATTTTAAAACATAATGTCTTACTCTTTCCACGCAATTGACACAAAAAGGGTTCTTGCTATTTCTCTGAGCAGCATGCAGGCGGGGTACCCGTGCAGAGGCAAAGAAAACTGGAAAACATAGACATTGGAATGCGGAACTAGTGCGCGCCAACAATTTCATTCAGCTTACTGATTGGTCAGCTCACAGTCAACCAGCGGCACCAAGTTCCATTCAGCTTACTGATTGGTCAGCTCACAGTCAACCAGCGGCACCAAGATATTAACCCTTTCATAACATACAATGAACTTGTTCAAGCATTTCACACTTGGGCTACATGTATCTTGTTCTACAGATTAAATATGGATTAACTGTTCATCAGATTGACCGCCCCGGGGAAGGAAACTGTCTTTGTGTCTGGTTGTTGTGGCATACAGTGACCTGCAGCGTACAACCCCAGAACATGACAGACCCCTGGCTTTGGGACTTGTTGCTGCCAACAGTCTGGATGGTCCTTTTTATCTTGAGTCCAGAGCACAGTGTCCATTTCTTCCAGAAAAGTAGTTTGGAAACAGATTATTAAACAAAAGTCATTTTAATACACAGTCGTCTACATCTCATGCTTCAGCTATTTCAGCAATTGATTTCAGGGCGATCCTTCAGCATATCAGCATCTATACGCATTTTCGACAGGCAATGTATTTCTCTAGTTTCAAATTGAAATACCTCAAGATGGAACAAACCATGTTTACAAGTTATAAAGTGGTCTGAAAATTTAAAATTAGACTTCCTAAGTTGAATTAAAATGACCAAAATATACATATTTACGTTAACAAGAAAAGCTTAGTTGATTCCACTAAATTCCTAGATCATGTATTACAGTGTACTTTAAATTAAAAAGGTATGTGGCTACGCAACCCTCTAACCATAAAAAGCCTATGGAATCAGCTCCATCCATCCATCCATCCATCCGGGACAGTGGCAGGTGGGGAGGTGTCAGAACAGTTACCACAGGGATGTCTGGCTTGTGGCGGCCAAGCGTGCATAGCGACTTTTTGATCCTTCGGTGTCGGCTCTTCCTATCATTGTGAAGCAGAATTCACCAAGCGTTGGATTGTTCACCCACTAATAGGGAATCAGCTCCATCTTAGCTAATTACATTAAAAATGTTACTTACATGTCTATATTAACTAATAGCGTAATCAAAGACTGAAGAAAACATGTCTATAACATTTTTCATTATTTAGACCTATTCTATTAATTTGGAACCTTGGACAGCCACGAGTGCCTTGCTTGAGAATCTTATGCATGCTTAGATATGCTTTAAAAGTAACCCAAATCTTCAACAAACAACTAGAACAGGATCACTGAGGGGGTTGGGGAAGCTACATTTAAAGCATAGCTTTTCAAGCTACCAATTAACTACTTCTTACTGGAAGTAGTTGTTAAAAAAAAAAAACAAAAGAAAAAATTGGGGAAGCTACATTTAAAGCAAAGCATAGCTTTTCAAGCTACCAATTAACTAACAGGATCACTGAGGGGGTTGGGGAAGTTACATTTAAAGCACAACTTTTCAAGCTACCACTTCTTACTGGAAGTAGTTGTTAAAAAAAGAAAGAAAAAAAAAACACAAACTGGGGCCACTTGACAGTTCTGGCTTCCAAGAAGCTGCTCTGTAGATGCACACATGCTCTTACACTGGAGCATCTGCTTATGAGCTTGAGTCCGCAGGAGTTCACATTTCTGCAAACTACCCTCATATGCCTGCTACTGTTCGGCACATGAACAGTAAGTTGGAGACATTTACAACACTCTACATTCAAACCACTGGTGTGAGCTAATAGGTCTGTCTATAAATAATATATTCAGAAAAAAATGTTATTGGCAACAGGACAAAAAATGTAGCAAATATATGTATGGCAAACAACTATATCCCAAATATACTTTATTAACAGGCTCAACATATTTTTATTTAGTAACTGCTACAACAATTAAAACTTCACAGGGAAACAGGCTGCAGTGTTGGACAGACTGAGCTTAGTGCAGTGTGTTTCTGGACAGCTAATGTGTGCACAGCTTCAAAGACCCCACCTGAAGAGCTGATAAGGATACAGTTCCATTCAACTTTCCTCCCTGACACTGTCTAACCTTCCACCAATTACACATCTGCATGTGTCACACCAGGCTGCTCACAGAGGGTTGACTGGGAAGAGAATTCCTATACCGCAACCTGGTGATGGTGGGGATTCGAGCTGGAACATAACCTCATAACCTGTACTGTAGACCAGTAAATGCATCATCCCTCCACAATCCGACGAAGCATGTTGGCTAAACCACTCTTGGTTATCTGGAGGGGTGTCTTCTTCTCCTTATTCTCAATGTAGATGCTGGCCCCATGTTCCACCAGTAACTTGGCTGCTTCCACACGCTCCTCATCGCACGCCAGATGTCTGATGAAAGATGCATGCATGACTTTAAATACAAGAGCACTTTTCATTTTTATATTTTCAGTGTTGTAAACACCACATACTACACTGCATTCACCTCGATGTATTAAGGTGATGGTATAAATCTCTGAGACTGATACCTCAAATTCAAAGCAAATAAAACCAAATCTATCTGGCTGGCTGAACAGCACTACAAGTAAGTGAAAACAACATGATGTTTATTTACATGTAGTAACCCATTAATGATTTGTGTTTGTTCATTTCAGCTGACAACATTCTACTGCAACTGAATTCCTGTACCCGCCACCACTGTGCTGTAGTAGACACATACAGTGGTGTGTTGCCCTGTGAGTCCTGGATGTTGGTTGAGGCGCTCTGTTTAAGAAGCAGTTGGATGAGACGGTAATTTCCCTTGGCAGATGCTCTGTGAAGAGGAGTGGACTCCAACTTGTCCGTGGCATTGGGGTCTGCTCCATTTTCCAACAACAGCAAGGCAATCTATAAAGAGGTAACCATTAATGACAAGTCACAGACAAGCATCCTAATCTTCCATTCTCATGAAACATGCATTTTCATATCCTGTCCCATTAGTTTTAGAAAGGCACGTCACAATTCATGCATCAGTCTTAACTTGGCTTAGGAAGTGAAACCGAAAAGTAGAACCAGAGTCCTTGAGACTACTGGGAACACTGTAGGTGTAGGTAGGTAAAACCAAATTAAAATGAAATAAATTTGTTCTGAAACTTGGCAGAAATCATGTCCAGGAAAATCATTTACCATTAAGATGTCTAGTGTTTAAACTTTCTGCATGTTTTTGCCCTCTGCAGTAGTGATGCATGATACCACTTATTTCCTTACCAGTACCAAGTAAAACCCATCACTTTGCACTCATCATTTTTTATAGTATCAGTATTGGTATCGAGGATACCAGCGTGGGTTTTACTTAGTATTTCTTTTCCAATCCAATATGATGAGTGCAAAAAGATGGGTCCCGATGACAGAGATTGATAGAGAAGAGCTATAAGGTTAATTTAAAAAGGATTTTTATTAACAACAAATGGTGCCAACCTGGTCACACTACTGTGAAGGGAAGGTTTTGTAGCCAAGATTTTGAACTGTAGCCATGGGACAACATCCATAATACATACAATTATGGATGTTGTTTACATCCCTCTTCCCAACAAATCATCCCGTTGGGATGAAAAGATAATTTCAAGAAATGTAACAAAGAACGCTTCTGGAAGGAAATGCCAACCCTACCTTTAATAAAGTTTTTCTTATTCTGATTCTCAGTGGCTCATCCATTAACAGAGCCACAGTTTGCATATGACTACGGCAAGCGGGAGGAGAACTAGTTCCAATCAAACAGGTAGACTGTCCTGGTGATAACATACTTTAGGCTGTGATGATAAAATATACATCTAGGCTACCCCAAATTACTGATTTTAAATATCAATCTTTTAATATGAGAATCAATCCTAGAACAAGAAACATTGGGGTTGAAGTATCCATATTTCAGGATGGATCTGCACAGTACTCTGTAACATTTTAATTAATAAAATAAGGAAGAGTCTCACATCTGAATCAAATTTGAGTCCTTTGGCTACTTTTAACACTCTTCATCTCAAAAAGCCAAATCGATATTAATCCTGGGTTTTGCCTTTTCCCCCGCTCTCTCTGTGCACAAGAATGTGACCCCTTCGGTCTGGCAGCCGTCGTGTCAGACTTTTAGCTGATGTCAGGTCCTCCCTGGCTAGCAGTGTGAAATGATTATTCAGTTTCAAAAATGCTTCTTCTAGCCTTCACTAGGTGGCAGGCAAACCGTACGTTGACAACATAGGGTAAAAAGCTAAATTAACAATAAAAGGCCTGTAAATGCAGAATGTCATGCAGGGAATCGTACAGTGGCGAGACATCACGCCCTGACCCATTTTCATTTGATTCATCAGGCAATGTGTTAAATCTTAGTTAACGCACCTTTAATAAATAAAACATATTTTCTGTTGACTAATTACTGCAGCTCTAAGAAATATGCTATCTCAAAATAACTGGAGCTTGACACTGGAACTACATCAGTATTACATTTTGATTACATAATAATATCTACTTGAAAGATAATAAAGAAACAAGCTTAAGATTTCAGGAATGTTGTACAGTTGTGTGGTATTATCAGCCAATGTTACTGCAACCTGGGAACCTTACCTCATATCTGTCTTTAGAGGCGGCATAATGCAGAGGGGTGCATCCATTCTGATTTACTGAATTCAGCTGAGCTCCTTTGGATATCAGAGATTTCACTATGTCCTCTCTGCCTGCAGATGCGGCAATGTGAAGAGGGGTCCACAAAGCCTGGGAAGTGACACCTCGCATAAAGTCATTCCACAAAATGAAGTAGAAAATCTTGAAATTACCCACTATGTCTGTGTAATGTCTAGTGTCTGTTCACATTCAAGGTCAAGACATTATGATATAATGTTGTTGTTTTTTTCTATTTGACATCAGTGAACTGAAACAACCCACCTTTACATCAATTTAAATGTCAACACAAACTACACTATAATATTAAAAACAAAAACTGATTAAAAACCACATTTATAAAATATCCTCCTCATGGCTATTGTAAATAAAACATTCATGTGAGTAAAGAGTGAAAGACATAGTTTGAGAAAGATATTCTACTTTGTGCTATTTTTTTTAAGCCACAGTTTTGGGATTACATTATACAGTAGTTGAGGGGTTCACCTAGTATCAGTGGTCATCCCTCTACCATCACACTTTGTTTTATACAGAAACATTTAACTCGTATTGAGAACCATTAGGCCTACATCATCCTGTAGATTCACTTCAACTCCCAGGTCAAGCAGGAACTCCACAATGTCGGTGTGACCAGCAGAACAAGCCCAGTGCAGGGCGGTTCTGCAGTCCTGAAATGACAGAAGCTCAACAATAAACTCTTGGAAATCTTCACTTGGTATTTGACATTATTAACGTTACCAGTACTATCTGGCTTACAAAAATAAATGCCTCAAAGGTTTTGCTGTGTCATGCATTCTTACCTGGTCCGTTTTGCAGGCAAGCGTTTTATCTGACAGAATGCACTGTTTTAATTTCTCAAACTGCCCAGTGTAAGCAAGATTACAGACCTCCACATTTGATACCGAACCTTCCATTGTTAAATATGGTTATGTGAAATGTCAAACAAAATTTCAAGTACTCTATGTAGAAAATTTTAAGGGACGCTTCCGTATCAGATTTGAATCGGACAAGCAACGACTCCGGAAATAATAAACTAACTTCCACAGGGGTCGATTTTTTTTTTATCTCTTCAAAATAAAATGCCATCGTGCTATGGGCTAACCAGTTTGTCTGAGAGTGAGACTGACTGTCCAGCTTAAATAAGTATTTAGATAATTTACTTAAGTAAACTACAAGTCAGCCTACCTCAAAATTTTAGCTATTAAGTAGATTATTAGTTCAACTTTTTAATTGGTGTTATATATTCATAACTTTGTAGTAGTGTTTACCTGAATATTATTTTAGCAATTATTCCACAGTACAATTTTTATTGAACCGCTGACTAAAAAATGAGATATGAAAAGTGACTCGGGGAGGGCCTTGTTGCGTTTGCACAAAAGTTAAAAAATAAAATAAATAAAAATAAACAGTTTAACTATTTTATTTTGGCAGGTACAGTTGGTGTCCGGAGGAAGTTATATATGCATCAAAATGGTGGTGGCTAGTGCTATATGAATGAAGTAAGAAAGAAAGTCACCTAAATTAATACTTCAGAAGAGAAGATTTTTCACTAGTTGATAGGAGTGATTAGTATTGTTTGCATCCATATACCTGTACTTATGGCAAGCACGCTGGTAAGTTTTAAACTTTCGCTACACTTTTATACTGCGATCAATCAACTAACGCAGTGTGATGCAGGCTAATTGCGGCTGTGCACATTTTGCAATGAACAACCGCAGATGCTATACCTCCATTTGTGTTTTCTTGGTGATGATCAGCGTTTAATAATTGTCACTCTAGGATTTCAGGACCCATGCCGACCAGTCATGCAGATATTCCGAAGAATTTGTCAACATTTATTACGACTGCATGGACAAGAAAAGGAGGGTACGTAATGAATTGGTTTTGCAGTGGTGGAAAGTAACTAAGTACATTTACTCAAGTACTGTGCTTAAGTACAATTTGACACAGTATCCTACAGATGTGGGGTACAATTTGCACTCTGGGCAGGTCGCCAGTCTATCACTGGGCTGACATGTAGACAAACAACCACTCACACACTCACGCTGACTCCTAGGGACAATTTTAGAGTCGCCAGTCAACCTAGGCTGCATGTCTTTGCACTGTGGGAGGAAGCTAGAGTAGTGTCCAACATGTCATTATGTCATGCAGAGAATACACAGTGGAAAGGCTAGAAATGGGTTCCCAATGAAAGAAGTTAGGATGAACAGAAACCAGTTCAAAAAAGTGAACTGCTATGGGCTGAGGAAGTTGTGGAGGGAGAGGGCAGGTTCCTGTTTGAGAATCTGAGGGTAACTGGACTAAATAAACAGATATGGGAGGTTGACTTGAGCCATAAGGTGGTGATGCAACATTATGATGGCAGCTGCTGTTAAACCCTCGAAGAATTATTTGTATGAGCAGCGTAGAACTTTACCAATACATCAGCACGGCCCATATCATCAGCAGATTTTAGTTGATCAGATATATCAGTATTGGCATATATATATATATACGTATGTATGTATATATACGTACGTACGTATGTATGTATGTATGTATCATCCATCCATTTTCCTCCACTTATCCGGAACCGGGGCGTGGGGGCAGCAGTCTAAGCAAAGATGCCACACCTCCCTAGGAAGGCGCCCAGGAGGCATCCGAAACAGATGCCCGAGCCACCTCAGCTGGCTCCTCTCGATGTGGAGGAGCAGCGGTTCTACTCTGAGCTCCTCCTGGATGACCGAGCTCCTCACCCTATCTCTAAGGGTGTGCCTGGCCACCCTGCGGATATACAGTATATATCAGACAAGAATCATCTAAAACTTACTGATATGTTTGAGGTCATTTACAGTTTGCTCTCTGGGGAGAAGGGACAACTTAAACTGTCCCACTCGCATGTTTTGGTCACAGTTCTGTAATAATCAAACTCAAGGACAATGTTTGTGTAAAAAATAAATAAACATGCATACATTATAATTTTTTTCAAATTCTCATATATTCTTAAAGGTTTCTCAAATATCAGTGATCAGGCTGTGTAACATACTATATTCTGCTTTTGGTTGATGTCACTGTTGCTGTTACTTTTGTTCTAAATTGCGTTTATTTACTGGTTTTGATAACTCAGAACCTGACCCGACTCTACCTGGACAAGGCGACATTGGTGTGGAATGGGAATGCAGTATCAGGTCAGGATGCTCTGGGCGAGTTTTTTGAGTCCTTGCCATCCAGTGAGTTCCAAGTTCACACACTGGATTGTCAGCCAGTTCACGGTCAGTGATAGATACTAAAAGCCTCGTATGAAAGCAAATATAATCAAGGTGTAAAAATATCTATGCAAATAAACATGAGATGTTGTCCTAGTGAAGGCGTGCTAATCTAACATCAGTCTACCCTTTGTTCATTCCCAGAACAAGCGACACAAGGCCAGACCACACTGCTCGTGGTGACTGGTGGGACAGTCAAGTTTGAAGGGAACAAACAGCGTTTCTTCAACCAGAACTTTCTCTTAACAGCTCAGGCTTCACCCAACAATGAGCAGCCTGTTTGGAAGATTGCCAGTGACTGTTTCCGATTTCAAGACTGGAATAGCTGAGGCTCTCCTCATCCATATTCTTTCTTCCCTCTGTAATGTATGAGCACTGTCGTAATAATCGTGTAAATAAACACACGGCTGGTTTATTTCTGTTTTTGTAATAAAATAAAAATGTCATACAACACTGAATATGAAAAGGTGTTTATTTTTGAAATGTTGAAGAGGCATATGGCCATAATAAATGGAGTAATAAATACAAATAGCCTAATGATGCAAGTCCATCAACATGACAGCACTGTGAAAAATACATAGAAAACACACTCCTATAATTTTGAAGTGAACAGACTTAACTGCTGATAACCTTTTGATACCAAATTATACATGAACCTGTTAACCGAGGTAAAATATGCACAGTATTACAGTATGCCAGAACTGACTACAGCTAAGCATTTTAGTAGTAAAGCATGCTCATGCTTTAATAAATAAGGTGCCGACAGGAATTTTGCCATAAGTGCTTTCTATGTAACCTATCCACTATTTTACAGTTTTATATATTAAACATTTACTTATCTTCCTGAGTCATTAATGTTAGAACATTTTGGTCCTACCTTCTCAATAAATCAGCACAAAATAATAAATAAAACATTGGCCACAAAATAAAAGTGGATGAGGAGACATGAAGTAGTCAGTGGTGGTATTCTAGTAGTCTAGTTGTCAATAGAATGAAGTGCAATTGTGTCATTTATTGGTTAATGGATTGTTTGAGGGATTTGATTTGCCATGCATATTCCTATTCAACTACACTACATGGGTGTATGGTTTCAAATCAAATCAATTTAATTTATATAGCTAAAAGAGCTGACAATAAAATAGAAAGTAAACATGAACTCATGTTGAAGACCATGTTTCTCATTTGGCACGTCTAATTGTAGTAGGATATAGCTATATACTTAGCCTGACATTTTGTGCTATGAATCATGTTCTATCCTAAAACAAGTCTAAATAGCCCATAGCTTAAAAGATGTTGAATAGTGGGTGTTCAGTAGGCTAGATGGCAAATGTGATCACATTTCAAATGTTTGATGAATTAAATATGACTCAGTTTTGTCAGGAATCGAACCCACACTACAATGTTGCAAGATTGTGGTTTTCATGATGCACCACAAGTTACACCAATCACATTACTTCGTGGTTGTTTCACCTATTTGAGTAACATCAGTTACTACACTCCATGATCCTTCATCAGCTTTCACAACTGTGCATGTTACAGGGCTTACATCAACTGTTTTCATTTACTCCGAGTATCATGGTTTAGTAATGTTATAGAATCTGTAGTACTGAGCTTGAGCCCGTCTTACTGATCTTCTCCAAGACGGTCTTCTACACCACGCTGGGCTCTACACCCATCCCTATGGCTTTCTGAGCCATGGCAGACTGCAGTACCTCTGAACACAAAGTGGAAACATCAGTGTACACAACTACAGTACTTGTGTTAAACTATGTCAATATGTTACAGATATTCATATTTCTTGTCATTTTCAAGTAATGTATGTTAAATTATTTTTATTCTAATATTTACCATTTCTATTTCCTGAAAATCCATTCTGATGACTTGAGGTCTAGAAACAAACAGGGACATATTTATTTTCTGTATAATGCAAGTAAAACAAAAGTCTGAGTGGCATCACTAGAGACAAGAGTACAGGATTACAACACCTTTCACACATCCCAAGGAAGTATTTTTGCCCAGAAAACAAAGTGTACTGCACTAGTTCTAATTTTTCCAGTCAGAAAGGAAAATTATAAAATGTACATATATGCCACAAGACTGTGCATTACAGCAATTAAGTTGCATGAAGATGTGAATCAGATGAGCTATGTTTACATACACAAAAGGGAAACAGGCCACTGAGGGAAACTGGACTAAGGCAGAATTATCTGAAAATATTTATCCACTGCAATAAGCAGATGGTTCTAAAAACCACTGTTAAAAAAGCCAGTGCGAGTTGGATTTTTCACCCACTCACCATTTTTTTCTTTTCTTTTTTAAAACAAAAACTGCAATTGATTTTTCTTACTGTGCATTTCAAACAACATTAAAAAGTCCACGCGTGGAAAACTGATATTTTAAAATTCATTTCAGTTTCAGCCATATTTTGGATACAAGATGCATAGTACCACCTTAAGTACTGATACTTCCTTTGACCCCAACACACTTGTGTCACAGTGGTACTTTTGCTATTCTGGGTGTTTATCATGCACATGTGCTACATGTAAAGACACAATTAGAAATCAGGTTAAGCATGTCAATGGCCAAAAATCAGATGTTCACCAGGTTTCTCTAAGCGCTTATTAAGTAAATCGGTTTTGTTAAGATGAAAGTTATAAAATCAGATTGCTTCACAAAGTCAGCAACAACCCGATTACTTAAGTGCATGTAAAAACAGTGAATGCTTACAGGTCTATTTCCTCGTGGATCTTGTAGCTGGATGCTGTTGACAAATCCTTGTCCTTTTTCTGTTAACAGGAAGCTGCATCTGATTTAAATTAATTAATTAATTAATTAAAAATACATAGCAAATGCCACAGCAAAAGGACCTGTGTGTATTTGAATGATTTGTTAGGTACACCAAGCTAAAACTAATACAATAGTCCTGCAATAAGTTCTCCCTGCATGAAGGTGATGTTCAGTTTCTGTTCAATGTGTTTTAGAAAAGTGCTGATTTAATTCTATGTTTATTTTGGTAGATGTGCCGCTTTTGAATTGTAATGTGTTATACTGACAGGTGTTTGTTATTTTGTCCACTCCGTTTATATCAGCGAGAAATAACCAAAACACCTTTCTGTATAAAACAGTACAGTAATGCAGTACAAAAGAGTGAACATGTTATTCTTACCCAGGGTAGTGTCTGGCATGTTCTTCCCAAGGGTCTTCCTCAGGCTGCCAGCCTTTCAAACCTCCACCACAGTGAAAACACAATACCTTGTCTCCCGCCCCTACAAGGACACACAAATTTTAGACTTGCTTACATTCATAACTATGATCAAACACCAAAAGAAATTTTAATCATTTAAAGCTTGGAAATTATGCTTTCTTTAGTCCCGTGACTGGTCGGGCATCTGTGCTCTACCTGTGCTGTAGAAGCCAGCTCTGGCAAGTCTCTCATGGTCAATAGGGTGCTGGACACCTGTAAAACTACCAACCCTCTCCTCAAAACTCCCCATGTGGACATGAGTGTTTCCACGTTGTCCACTAGCCCACTCCATCTCCTCTGTAGCCCCCTGTAATGGGATGTTGCCCACATCGTGCCCAAGGATAAAAAAGCAGTTGGGAAAATGTTTGGTATGTTCTCTCCACGCAGTGTCACCTGCTTCCCAGCCACCCAGCATGCCACCACAGCAGAAACACTGCACCCTGTCCTTCTGTCCCAAGTAGTAGAGGCCAGCTTGGGCCAGATCACGGGGCCTCACAGGTGCAGTGGATGGCCACAGAGAGAAGGTCTGCAGTCGGGCCTCCTCACTCCTCATATGAGGAGCCATAGGGTAGGTGGACTCATCAACCACCTCTCCTGTTCTCAAACGATATTCCATGTCTTCTGCTTCTTCATCGTAGGCAGAACCATTAATCAGTGAACCAAAAGAACCTGGATTAAAACTGGTACGGTGGGTGCAGCTGAGAAACCTGCAAGATGGGGAAACCTGTAACAGAGGGTTAAGTATGTTTTAGGTATTCAGAAAAGATTGAAAACTAAAAAAAGTGAGTCTACTCATGGCTACCTCTTTATGCCTCACTACAGGCACATCTTCCCTGTGCCAGTTTTCCACAGTCTTCTGGCAGCTGAAACAACGGACACGATCACCAGAGCCAGTGAAGTAGAAGCCGGCCCGGGCCAGTCTTTCTGCAGGCACCTTCTGGGCCAGGCTGGAACCACAGAATGACTCCAGGCGACTGTCCATTAAAGAAAAATCAACTGAGTGGTCTGTCTCCAAATTAGTGTCTTGCATTAAATTGGACATGATTGAACAGGCTGTAAACTGCTGAGTGGGCTCACTTGATGGACAGAATGTCTGCAGATAAAAGAGAAAGAAAACATCCTGTAGTCAATGTTCTTTCACTGGGTCAAAAAGTAGTTACTTAAAAAAAAACTGATGATTAATTGATTTCTATGTTTAGTAACAGACAGCTGATCAGCATATCTAGGCTCTTAGATGATTCTTTAAGGGAAACAGTCAGACTGTAATCACATGGAGGAACTGGATATTCCATGTGAAGGATGAGCACTACAGGGTTACCTGCAGGCTCAATACACTGCAATATGCTAATATTGCTAAGGATGTATCTCTAGGTGGTCTGACAACACACACTATGACAAAGGATAACACAATGGTTTGAAACAATATTTAGGACACTCAGCTATTATTAATTCTGCTAACCTAATATTTTCTCCTTCTCTGCATTCTCAACTGTGTATTGCTCTGAAGGCATGCCATAAGCAGATATAGTACAACCCTAGCAAATAACTTACGTAGTGGAAATATGTATTCATTTCACCAAACACTTTGCATGGGAGGCTACCTAATGTTAGGTATTTTTAGTCAGATAGATATTGGTTAGGTACTGTACTTGTTGTATTAGAAATGTTTTTAGTGTAGACAGGATGTCTAGCTCAGGCTGTTAAATGCTTACTCATTTTCATGAGTTACTCCAGGTTGTTTATGGTCAAGGATAACTAGATAGAG